TCCAATTCTATGGGCTCTGACCCCTGAGGGAATGAGGCACATGTGTGGCACACATACATACATACAGGCAAAATGCTTATAACAAATACATTTTTTAAAAGAAAGCATTAAAAAAAAGTTACCTCTGGTTTGTCTAGTAGAAGACAGCCAAGTTCATAGCAAGCATACGGCTGAACGTACAAGTTATTCTGACGACACAGCTCATCTTTAGCAGCTCTCTGGAAGAACTGAAAGTCACAAAGATGTTATAGTAAAGAACTCATTTTGCTATTTGGTTCACCAGAGCCCTCAGACAGCAGGAAGGAGACTTATTTCTCCTAGATCAGATTCTCCCTACTCATCTTCATTCCTTTCCATTTTAGAAGTTTTTATTACGCAGGGTTACAAAGGCCCTTTTCATACAAGTGCACAACGTACTTTGAACGTATCCCCCCGCACCCGTCTAACCTTCGTTATAGTAAAGAACTCATTTTGCTATTTGGTTCACCAGAGCCCTCAGACAGCAGGAAGGAGACTTATTTCTCCTAGATCAGATTCTCCCTACTCATATTCATTCCTTTCCATTTTAGAAGTTTTTATTATACAGGGTTACAAAGGCCCTTTTCATGCAAGTGCACAACGTACTTTGAACGTATCCCCCCGCACCCGTCTAACCTTGCCCTCCCATGTGTCTCGTTATTACCCTAGACAGTTTTACTTCTATATTCACGTCATCTGTACAGGATGAGTTCGTGTATCTCTATTAAACCGAGGCTCACAAACGAGGGAAAATATGTATTATCTGTCATTCTGACCCTCACTTAATTCTCAGTTTGATCGGCAGCACTCGCACCCGTCTTCCTGCAAACAGTTTCCTTTCTAGCCATTCCTTTCTGGGTCTCCAAGTCCTATTTTCTGCCTAGGCGCGTCCTTCACAGTGTGCTACCCACCAGCCAGCCCAGCTCGTACTGCTCATTTTCCCAGCTGACACACCAACTTTTACTGATATTCTAGTTGAAAAAAAAATCTTTATCTACCTATAAAAGTCAAATATGTAAAATAGACTTCAGACATGCCAAGAGTCACCTCTTCACATGTGTCTTGAATATTCTTGTTCCTACCTAACCATGCAATCAAAAGTAGCAGTTTGGAAACATGAAATAGCCATGAAAAACCCACA